AGGTCGCTCGTACCTCCATGATCCATGCGGCTGACCCCATTTCCTGTGGCCATTTGCGGTCCGGTACGACGCGCATCAGCTCAACCTCTGGCCCCGTGTCTCCTTGCCGGAGACCTCGCCCACACTGCTGTGGACGGGGAAGGTTGGCGATGCGTCGCGTTTCCGGGTCTAGGGTGCTCGTGCCTTTGTTCGCAATACCACCGCGGACAAGCTCTCTGCTCGCGCCATTCCCTGCGTCTTCCTTGGCTTTGTCCCTGACGCGCCTGGCTGGCAGTTTTACGAATCCGCCTCGCGCCGTGTCTTTCCGTCTCAGGACGTCACCTTTGACGAGTCCGTCCCCTTTTACCGTCTCTTTCCCTACCGCACTGCCCCTCGCCCCCCCCCGCCGCTCTTTCTCACCCCAGGTCCTCCCCAGAGAGACCCCCTCCCCGCGCGAGGTCCTGCTCCTTCAGGTGTTTCTCAGGTAGACCCTCCCGTGCCTGCGCCTGTTGAGGCCACTGGTGACTCAGGTCCTGCTGGGGGTGGTGTTGTCTTTGGGGGTGCTGGGCCTTGGGGTGCGCAGCTTGGGGGTGCTGAGCCTGGGGGTGCGGAGCCTGAGCGTGAGGAGCCTGGAGGTGCTGAGCTTGCCCGTGAGGAGCCTGGAGGTCCTGAGCCAGGGGGTGCTGTGTCTGGAGGTGCTGAGCCCGAGCGTGAGGAGCCCGGGGGTACTGAGTCTAGGGGTGCGACACCTGAGGGTTCTGGGTCTGCTGCTGCGCGGTCTTCGTGGAGTAGCCGCCTTCGTTCGCGTGTGCCTCTCACCTCACAGCAGCTGCACGATTGGTACGGTCGCCGTCAGGGTCGCACTTCTGGAGCTCGGGGCTCTGCTGCTTGAGGTACTTCTGCTGACGTCACTGGAGCTGGGAGTGGTGCTGGTCCTTTGTCTACTGGAGGTGCTGGAGTCGCTGGTCCCGGAGGTGCTGCTGCTGGAGGCATTGAGGCTGGAGACCCTGGGACTGGAGGTGCCGGCTCTGGGGGTGCTGCAACTGGTGGAGCTGGTCCTGGAGGAGCTGGCGCTGAGGGTTCTGGAGGTGCTGGAGGTGCTGGAGCTGCTGAGGGTACTGGAGCTGCTGGAGGTGCTAGAGCTGCTGGTGCTGGTGGCACTACTCAGCCGCGCCTATTCTTCGCTCCGCCGTCTCCTCGTCTCTGCCACCGCCTGACTCTGTGCTTCGCAAGGTTCTTAGTCTCCCTTCGTCTACTGGTCTTCCGTTACAGCCTGGCTCACCACTGCCTACTCCTTCTCCTTACACTGAGCAGACAGGGGGTCTTACTGAGCGTCGTGAGCATGCGTCGCGTCCTGTCTCACCTGTCCATTCTGGTCGTTCCGGTCGTCGTGTTCCTCGTCCGCGTCAGCCGGCTGTCCCCGGCACCCACCTTGTAGTCCGTCGTCCTTCCTCTCCTCCGCAGCGTGTTCCTCTGCCGTCTCCCCCTGCGTCCTCTTTGCCTGGTGTTACCGACCCTGACTCTGACCAGTTTCGTACTGAGCACCCTAATGTCACGCGTTTGTTAGCCACTGTGGTCACTGACCCGTCGTTTGAGTCCACTGCTGCGTCTGCCCTAGTCGCTGAGCTTGTCGACTTTGCTGCTGCCTGTCGTCTAGTCTACGCTGCTAGTCTTGTTGCTGAGTCTGGGTCTGTCTGTCCTCCGTCCGTTGGAAGTGAGTGTGCTCTTAGCACAGACGTCCTTGAGGACAGGCACGAGGACCTTGAGTGTCTTGCGGCCGTTGCGCCTCATCTCGTGGCCATGCTGCTTGCCCTTGAGGGAGACCCGGATGCACCAGACATCCCGACCCCGCGCTCTTACGCTGAGGCGATCGCGGGTGAGTACTCTTCTCAGTGGCAGACAGCCATGGACACAGAGATGGCATCCTGGAAGTCCACAGGCACCTACGTCAATGAGGTTCCCCCTCCCAAGGCGAACATCGTCGACGGCATGTGGATTTTCAGGGTGAAGCGGCCGCCAGGTTCCACGCCTGTCGTCAAGGCTCGTTACGTTGCTCGAGGCTTCAGTCAGCGAGAGGGAGTTGACTTCTTCCAGACCTTCTCCCCCACTCCAAAGGTGACCACTCTTCAGGTGCTGCTGCACGTTGCCGCTCAGCGTGACTACGAGCTTCACTCTCTTGTCTTCAGCACTGCTTTCTTACAGGGCAGCCTGCACGAGGAGATCTGGCTGCGCCGCCCGCCAGGCTTCACTGGGTCGTTCCCTCCTGGTACCCAGTGGAGCCTCCGGCGGCCGGTCTACGGTCTCCGCCAGGCGCCACGTGAGTGGCACGACACACTGAGGACGACACTTGCGGCTATTGGGTTTGCTCCTTCGACTGCTGACCCGTCGCTGTTTTTGCGCACCGACACTTCGCTGCCGCCCTTCTACATCCTCGTGTATGTCGACGACTTGGTCTTTGCCACTGCTGACACTGAGGCTCTTGCCCTGGTGAAGTCGGAGCTGCAGAAGAGACACACGTGCACAGACCTGGTTGAGCTGCGCAGTTACCTTGGCTTGCAGATCACCCGGGACAGAGCACGCCGCACCATCACACTGACTCAGTCACACATGGTGCAGCAGGTCCTTCAGCGCTTCGGCTTCACCGGTACTCCTCGGCACAGGCCACTCCTCTTGCTACACGTCACTCGCTCTCAGCTCCACCTTCGGACGAGTCCATAGAGCCGAGTGGTCTTTACCCAGAGCTAGTTGGTTGCCTCATGTACCTGATGACCTGCACTCGTCCTGACCTTGCGTACCCTCTTGGCCTTCTGGCTCGCTACGTGGCTCCTGGTCGGCACCGAAAGGTGCACATGAATGCTGCTAAGAGGGTACTGCGCTACTTGTGCACGTGCTTGGAGGACGAGGCGACGTTGTCCTCACTGGTCACTCTGACGCTTCTTGGGTTGACGACCAGGCTACGCAGCGGTCGTCACAGGGTTACACCTTCAGTCTTGGCTCTGACTCTGTTTCTTGGCGGTCTACGCGCTCGTCTTCTGTTCTCGGCTCCAGTTGTGAGGCTGAGATCTACGCCACAGCCATGGCTGCACAGGAGTTACGCTGGCTTACCTACCTGCTGACCGACTTGGGAGAGAGGCCTCGTTCTCCTCTAGTTCTGTACGTCAACAACAAGGCAGCCATTGCCTTGTGTCCGGAGCACAGGCTGGTGCACAGAACGAAGCACATCGCTCTGTGTTACTTCCTTGCTCGAGAGTTGCAGCAGCGTGGTCAGCTTCATCTTGCTCACGTGGCCACTCAGGCCAACACTGCTGATATATTCACCAAGGCACTTCCGCCTGGTGATCATCAACGCTTTTGTACTTTGTTGGGCCTTGTGCCTACGTTTCCACACTTGCTGTAGACTCTGCTTGTGCTGTGATATATATATATATATATATATATATATGTATATATATACCTGCATACTTGCTCTTGTTAGCTAGAGATCACTGTACTGTTCTTGTTGCATATATACCTCTGCATGTGAACTGGCCTTGTGGCCTTTTGCTTGTGCTCAGTGTGTGTGGTGACGTTGTGATCCACCCTGAGCTTGCTTTGCTTTTTCTTGACTGGTCTTGTGACCTCTTGCTCTCCCCCACGTTGCCTATGGGGGTGTGTCAAACATATGTTATATGTTATATTTGTGGGTAGGCTGTAGTGGGGTAGAAACTGTGGGGTATAACCCCCTTTGCTTTTCTCCTTGTACCTTTCTCTCGATAGTCCAATCACCCATGCCTAAGTTTCTAAGAAAGCCTGTTGAGCCCAACGGTCATTACGCATAGCTGGTGGGGTGCCTCATGTACCTGATTACACGCACTTGGCCACTCACATATCACATCTCTCAATCACATGTACTTGATTGAACCTCTCACATCTCTTACCCTTTTCACAAGGATCGCATGCGTGTAGGCATGGTCAATACTTTTGAGAGGAACCGCCAACCTTGTAACACCACATGCGCAAGAAAGCACCTACCGTATTCTCCCGGACAAAGCACCCCCCCGTAATTGTACACCCCCGGGTAGCTTGTGCGGGGTGGGTGTTATGATAGACCTCGTTTCTTCTATACCCCCCTTTTTGGCCGATTTTCTATAACACCCCCCTTTTCTTACGAATTTGTTATTATAGTCGTTAACGAGTAGCTGCAATACGGAAGAATATCGCGAAAATTTCTCCCTATATGAAATTTTGCGGTACATTCACTTACAATCTACCAAGATTCCCCCTCTCCCACTACTTCGCAGTCGCCACGTGCAGGCGAATCTTCCGCTGCAAGTGGCAAGAGAGGTGCCACATGACATTTTCGTAGGGGTGATGAAGTTCGTGGCCGAAACTCACATTCGTGCCTCAGACAGTGATGTTAGAATGAAAATCAAAACACCCACATTGTCTAATCAAATAAACACTAACACTAAAATATACCATATGTAAAGACCCGGGTATTATGTATTTTTTCCCTATGAGGAGACCCCCCCCCATTTTTTCCCTGTATTTTTAGCTATACCCTAGGGTGTTATGTCCAGGAGAATACGGTATCATGATGTGAACTTGTAATGAACAAACATCTGGTTTGAGTTCTCGTAGAGTTCCATAAGGAAAACCTTACACCATAAAGGAAGCCTTCAGCTGAACCGCCCAGCTGTCGTTCATTCATTGTTCCCTACATATAACATGTATGTTATCATATCAATAATACTCCTCAAGCAATGCCGGATGTAAACACCCATAAGCACTCCAATCACTTCCTTCTGCATCCCTTCGATGTCAACCCCCACAAGTAACGGCCATGCTATCATTTATTGCTTAGGCATGCAAGCGCAACAATCTCTGCCTCGGTGCCGTAGCTACATCCTCACAACGTGGACAGGTCCGAACACCAAGCACCCAGGAATTTGTTATACACTACCAGGTCGTAGTTCGGTAGTTGATGTAGTTGAGAAAGAGGTTGACAGTGGCAGGAGGCAGACCAAAGGAGGAGGGGAAGAATGAGGGGGAGAGGAGGAGGAGGAGGAGGAGGAGGAGGAGGAGGAGGAGGAGGAGGAGGAGGAGGAGGAGGAGGAGGAGGAGGAGGAGGGGTGGGCGAGGGAGGAGGAGGAGGAGGAGGAGGAGGACGAGGAGGAGGAGAAGGGGGTGTCAGAAACCCAGCCACTAACCACTGGGATAAAAAGACTTGTTTGTGTAGCGGGTGAGTGCGCCCATAACCCCCCACGCCAACGTGCCTGTAACCCTTCCCTCGGATCAATCGGGGATCACCAGTGGACCTCTGACAGGGGGAGGAGAAGGAGAAGGAGGAGGAGGAGGAGGAGGAGGAGGAGGAGGAGGAGGAGGAGGAGGAGGAGGAGGAGGAGGAGGAGGAGGAGGTGGTGGTGGTGGTGGAGGAGGAAGGGGAGTGGGAGGCTTTCTAAAGAGTGCATAGTGCTCCTCTAATCGGATAAACCACTAGCTTGTTGCGTCAAGACATCCCTAGATTCAATGATTTTGTTTTCTTAGAACTGCCTAGAGTTGAAACCGCCGACGCCACAAGGTCGTGACATGTAATGACAGCAAGGCTGGAAATGGAAAGCGGGAGCACGAAGAAAACGCTGATAAGTATCAACCACTTTACTACAAAGGACCTGATCGTGTTGAACCTGATGCCTGAGGCCTGAATGTTGGTATATATTATTAGTTGTCACACTTAAAATGGCATACTTAGATATAGCTCGGCCTGGTGCCCAACAATCCGATCTCTCTAGGCATTGCTAGAAATATCACTTAGGAACTAGGTATACCTAGTATTGACCACAATAGGCGAAATATTACGTCCTCAGAGGTTAAAACCTACCAACTCATGTTAATACAATACATTTAATGTGGGAACTCAGCAACACGGATCTACACTCCCAGGAAGCCGTAGGATGCTAACCAGACCGTGAGGGGCGCGACATTGGAGGTTCCGGGGGGGGGGGGGGGGGAGGGGGGGGGGGGGGGGGGAAACAGGTACAGCTAAAACGCAGGCAAGAGAAAGCGCGGAAAATTCAAGAAGAGGAGGAAAAAACCACTGCTACTGCAGACTGGCTCTTCCACCATCCCCCACCCTTCATCTTCCTGCCACTCCCTGACGTTCCCTGCTGTGCACACAAGCTACTGTGTGCTACGAGCTAGAGCTCCTTTTCACTTGCAAGAGCAGTGTGCCCTCTCAACAGAGGTACCCCGCCACGGCTGCCAATTTCGCTTCCTAACCGCCTCCCCTTCATCCTTCCCTTCCTCAACCTTCACCCCCTCACCCCCCTCGTCAGCATTCCCAAGCATTCCATCTCGCCCCTCTTCCTCCACAAATTCTCTACAACTTCATCGGCTCACGTGCCTAGTCTCACGTGCCTTGTCTCACGTGCCTTGTCTCATGTGCCTTGTCTCACGTGCCCTGTCTGGCCCGCCTCCACTGTGTGAGCGTGCGCCCGTCTATGAAGATGGTCGTGCCCGGATTGCGATCCTCCCTGCCCGCATGCTGCAGGGTTGGGAGTGATGGGGCGATGGGAGGTGGAGAGATGAGAGGAGCGCGATGATGAGCGAGAATGGGGAGGGAGGGTCAGATGGAGAGAAGGGGGGAGGGGAATTGGGAAGGGAGGGAGGGAGGGAGGGAGGGAGGGAGGGAGGGAGGAAGAGAGGGAGGTGAGGGAGGGAGGGAGGGAGGGAGGGAGGGAGGGAGGGAGGGAGGGAGGGAGGGAGGGAGGGAGGGAGGGAGGGAGGGAGGGAGGGAGGGAGGGAGGGAGGGAAAGAGGGAGGGAGGGAGGGAGGGAGGGAAAGAGGGAGGGAGGGAGGGAGGGAGGGAAAGAGGGAGGGAGGGAGGGAGGGAGGGAGGGAGGGAGGGAGGGAGGGAGGGAGGGAGGGAGGGAGGGAGGGAGGGAGGGAGGGAGGGAGGGAGGGAGGGAGGGAGGGAGGGAGGGAGGGAAAGAGAGAGGATGTAGAGGAGAGAAGGAGGGAGGCAGAGAGGGAGAGAAAAGGTGAGGCAGGGAGGGACGGAGGCAAGGAGGCAGGGAGCGAAGGAGGCAGGGAAGAAGGGAGGGGTGCAACGATCGAGGCAGGAAGCTGAAAGGGAGGGAGGGAGGCGAGCGGGCAAGCAGGAAGTTATGCGGACAGGACGACAAACAGGTTGACAGGCAACGAAGCAAAGGACAGGACAGGGCAGATGAGTTCTCCCCCACGAGCTTCAAGGCAGATGTTTCACGTTCAAACTTTCAACCCACCAGTCCACTCAAGAAGCTTTCTAAAGAGTGGTGGTGGTGGTGGAGGAGGAAGGGGAGTGGGAGGCTTTCTAAAGAGTGCATAGTGCTCCTCTAATCGGATAAACCACTAGCTTGTTGCGTCAAGACATCCCTAGATTCAATGATTTTGTTTTCTTAGAACTGCCTAGAGTTGAAACCGCCGACGCCACAAGGTCGTGACATGTAATGACAGCAAGGCTGGAAATGGAAAGCGGGAGCACGAAGAAAACGCTGATAAGTATCAACCACTTTACTACAAAGGACCTGATCGTGTTGAACCTGATGCCTGAGGCCTGAATGTTGGTATATATTATTAGTTGTCACACTTAAAATGGCATACTTAGATATAGCTCGGCCTGGTGCCCAACAATCCGATCTCTCTAGGCATTGCTAGAAATATCACTTAGGAACTAGGTATACCTAGTATTGACCACAATAGGCGAAATATTACGTCCTCAGAGGTTAAAACCTACCAACTCATGTTAATACAATACATTTAATGTGGTAACTCAGCAACACGGATCTACACTCCCAGGAAGCCGTAGGATGCTAACCAGACCGTGAGGGGCGCGACATTGGAGGTTCCGGGGGGGGGGGGGGGGGGGGGGGAAACAGGTACAGCTAAAACGCAGGCAAGAGAAAGCGCGGAAAATTCAAGAAGAGGAGGAAAAAACCACTGCTACTGCAGACTGGCTCTTCCACCATCCCCCACCCTTCATCTTCCTGCCACTCCCTGACGTTCCCTGCTGTGCACACAAGCTACTGTGTGCTACGAGCTAGAGCTCCTTTTCACTTGCAAGAGCAGTGTGCCCTCTCAACAGAGGTACCCCGCCACGGCTGCCAATTTCGCTTCCAAACCGCCTCCCCTTCATCCTTCCCTTCCTCAACCTTCACCCCCTCACCCCCCTCGTCAGCATTCCCAAGCATTCCATCTCGCCCCTCTTCCTCCACAAATTCTCTACAACTTCATCGGCTCACGTGCCTAGTCTCACGTGCCTTGTCTCACGTGCCTTGTCTCATGTGCCTTGTCTCACGTGCCCTGTCTGGCCCGCCTCCACTGTGTGAGCGTGCGCCCGTCTATGAAGATGGTCGTGCCCGGATTGCGATCCTCCCTGCCCGCATGCTGCAGGGTTGGGAGTGATGGGGCGATGGGAGGTGGAGAGATGAGAGGAGCGCGATGATGAGCGAGAATGGGGAGGGAGGGTCAGATGGAGAGAAGGGGGGAGGGGAATTGGGAAGGGAGGGAGGGAGGGAGGGAGGGAGGAAGAGAGGGAGGTGAGGGAGGGAGGGAGGGAGGGAGGGAGGGAGGGAGGGAGGGAGGGAGGGAGGGAGGGAGGGAGGGAGGGAGGGAGGGAGGGAGGGAGGGAGGGAGGGAGGGAGGGAGGGAGGGAGGGAGGGAGGGAGGGAAGAGGGAGGGAGGGAGGGAGGGAGGGAAAGAGGGAGGGAGGGAGGGAGGGAGGGAAAGAGGGAGGGAGGGAGGGAGGGAGGGAGGGAGGGAGGGAGGGAGGGAGGGAGGGAGGGAGGGAGGGAGGGAGGGAGGGAGGGAGGGAGGGAGGGAGGGAAAGAGAGAGGATGTAGAGGAGAGAAGGAGGGAGGCAGAGAGGGAGAGAAAAGGTGAGGCAGGGAGGGACGGAGGCAAGGAGGCAGGGAGCGAAGGAGGCAGGGAAGAAGGGAGGGGTGCAACGATCGAGGCAGGAAGCTGAAAGGGAGGGAGGGAGGCGAGCGGGCAAGCAGGAAGTTATGCGGACAGGACGACAAACAGGTTGACAGGCAACGAAGCAAAGGACAGGACAGGGCAGATGAGTTCTCCCCCACGAGCTTCAAGGCAGATGTTTCACGTTCAAACTTTCAACCCACCAGTCCACTCAAGAAGCTGAAATCTAAGTCCAGGCTCCAGGGACAAAGTGGGAGATGGAGCACGGGAGCAGGGGCGACGTGAGGAGTCACTGGGTGAAGGGGGTGAGGGGTCACCTGAGTGAAGCGGGTGAGAGACATCTGAACGCCATGGCAGTCACACACAATCACCAGCCTCCCCCCTTCCGTCTCGCGAAGTTCTCCCTCTGCTCGCACACGACACGATCATGGTGTTGTACAGATGTGTGTGTGTGTGTGTGTGTGTGTGTGTGTGTGTGTGTGTGTGTGTGTGTGTGTGTGTGTGTGTGTGTGTGTGTGTGTGTGTGTGTATGTGTGTATGTGTGTGTGTGTGTGTGCGTGTGTGCGTGTGTGTGTACGCGTGTGCGTGTGTGTGTGTGTGTGTGTACGCGTGTGCGTGTGTGCATCTGCATGCGCGTGTGCGTGCGTGTGTGTGCGTGTGTGTGTGTGTGTGTGTGTGTGTGTGTGTGTGCGCGCGCGGGGATCACACATTGAATTATGCCTAAGGCTTGCAGGTTACTTTTGAGGCGCCTCAAAAGCTTGCAGGTTATATTGTGGTGAATGGGGATGAGAAATCGGCAATGAAGGCTGGAAGGGTTAGAAGAAACATGTTGGGAGTGGAACAGGGATGACGAGAGGAGGAGGTGGGAGAAGAGTGAAGAGAAGGGAGGGGAAGAGAAGGGAGGGGAAGAAAAAGGGAGGGGAGGGAAGGGAAAGGAAGGGAGTGGAAGGGAAAGGAAAGGAAGGGAAGAGAGGGCATAGCAATTGTACGATAAGAGTGAGCGTACCAACAACAGCGCCTGAGTAGCCTGAGCACGTCGCTTGCACACGCTGCAACACCCGCCCTCCTTCCTCCCCTGCTCCCCTCAGACTCCAACCCGTGCCAGCTACTGCCCCCCATCCTGTTCTAGGTGCTCCCCCTTTGTTCGCCCCACCACCTCCCCCTCCCCCTCCCCCACCCCCACCCCCTCTCTCGCTCCCTTCCCCTCCTCCTCCTCCTCCTCCTCCTCCTCCTCCTCCTCCTCCTCCTCCTCCTCCTCCTCCTCCTCCTCCTCCTCCTCCTCCTCCTCCTCCTCCTCCTCCTCCTCCCCCTCCCCCTCCTCCTTGCAGCTCGTCAGAGCATCTTTCATCCTCCTCCGCTGCATTCTCAGACCCTACCACCTGCCACTCGCTTCTTGTCACATCCCCACCTCCACTCATTTCAGTCCCCGCCCCAAAACGCCCAACCATACCAGTCCCTTCCCCAGAAGCTAGGCGGCCACTGCTCTTGAAAACCAACCCACTGCTTCCACCACCACCACCACCCATTGCAGCGGTTGACACAGCAGCAGCGACACCACTATGGAAGCGAAGAGAAGTGGCATTGGTAGTAGCACCAGCAGAGGCAGCAGCGGCAGTACCAGCAGCAGCAGTGGCAGCAGCAGCGCGCAGCCTATGCTGCAGTGATTCTGCTACAAGAGGCTGTGCTGCTAACGATTGGGGACGTGGTACAAACCACATGTTGCCACTTCCCCTCCCTCCTACATCAATCCCTGACACGCCATACCTTCCCCCTCTGGTAACCCCTTCACCTCTCATCTCGCTCCGTGCTGATGCGTTACCCTGTAACCATGAGCTGGTGCTATTTTGTATGCTTCCTCTCTGCAATGTGCCACTTGCATGGCGACTATCAGCCAGCATCCCACTCCTCATATTCAACCCCTGTGCTCTCACGTCCCATCCATCTGAATCACTCCTCTCTGTTCCATCACCCCCTTCCTCTGCCTCTCCTTCTCTTCTTCTTCCTCTCTCTCCTCCGCCACCTTCTCCCCCCTCTCCTCCTGGTAGCCTCCTCGCCTGCAAACCTCCTCCATGCTCCCCTCTCTCAACTGCCATTCGATCTCTTGCCTCCTCCCCATCCAGCCACCACCGATGACTGTTACGCTGTGTGCTGCTGCTCATACCACCACCATCACCACCACTGGCGCCTCTACTGCTGCTCACGCGGCCTGCAGTAGCAACAGCGGCAGCAGAAGCAGCAGCGGAAGCTGAAGCAGCAGGGGCAGCTAAAGCAGCAGGAGCAGTCCCACTTGCAGCAGCGCGAGAGGGTGGACGCATGGGCGCAGCATGAGTAGTAGCAGGAGTGGTGGATGTAGCAAGGGGCTGACCACGATTCCCAGAGGTACCCATCAAACGGCCGGGCATGGAGGGAAAGTACCTTCCCTCTTCTGCTTCGACAAGATCGTATCTGGGCCCGTGGCTCTGCTGCTGCTGCTGCTGCTGCTGCTGCTGCTGCTGCTGCTTCAGCTGCTGCGACCGCTGCTGCTGGCTCTGAATGTTGCTCTTGTCGCCCTGGCTGCTTCTCTCTCCATTTTGCCGACTGCTGCTGCTGCTGCTGCTTCTGCTACTGCTCCTTGCACGCCCACGACTCAATTCCTGATCCCCCATCCCTGCCACGCCCCCTTGGCTCCTATTCCGCCCCTCATTTGGTTTCCGGTCACTGTTCTGATTCCAGGCTCCTGCCCTTCCTGCTGCTGCTCCTGCTGCTGCCGCTGGTAACGATTTTACGTTTTCTGGGGCTTGTGAGTTGCTGGTTCTGAAACCGTCACTGAGAGGCAAATGCACAGCAGTCTCAACAGCCTCCTGACATTCCTCCTCGTCTCCAAGCTCCTCCTCCCAATCGTCCTCCCCCTGCTGCTGCTGCTGCTGCTGCTGCTGCTGCCACCGCTGCTGCTGCCATTGCTGCTGTTGCTGCTGCTGCCACCACTGCTGCTGCTGCTGTTGCTGCTGCTGCCACCACTGCTGCTGCTGCTGCTGCCACCATTGCTGGTGCTGATGCTGCATACCACCAACACCGGCTGCAGCCCGAGCAGCATCATCACTGCCAGCAGCAGCAGCTGCATCAGCATCAGCGGCAGCATCAGCGGCAGCATCAGCGGCAGCAGCAGCGGCAGCGGCGGCTGTGGCAGCGGCAGCAACGGCGGCAGTGGCATCGCGAGCAGCCCTGATACGAGCAGTCCGCCTTGCTGCACCGATTCGCACCCCTTCAGGAGAATCTGACGCTGCTATACTGGTGCTTGCAATGCTGGGTGGAGCCCTGTCGACTGGAGAGTGGTGCAATGGGTTGCTTGGAGGTGCCGCACGCAACGACAGCTCTAGAGAGAGTGCTGGGCCCAACCCTGCACCGGTGGGAAGAGGAGGGAGGGAGGGAGGGAGGGAGGGAGGGAGGGAGGGAGGGAGGGAGGGAGGGAGGGAGGGAGGGAGGGAGGGAGGGAGGGAGGGAGGGAGGGAGGAAGGGAGGAAGGGAGAGAGGGAGGTGGGCGGATGGGCAGAGGCCAGGCAGGAATAAAGGTTCTGGCAAGGAGCCTAACGGAACTAGTCCCAGTGTAAAGGTTCTGGCAGCAGGCATGAATCGCTCTCACCAAGAGGTCGGGTGAGGTGTACACGCCTAATTTTTGAGAAATCTCAAAAAACACGTGAGGTGTACACGCCTAGTGGACTCTTCTCTTCTCTGCACCCACACTCTTCTCTTTCTTTCACCCACGCACTTCTCTTCTCTGCACCCACGCTCTTTCCTTCTCTGCACCAAACACTTAATCACCCCTCCCCCCACCTTCTCTCCCACGCCGCCATACGACAACCGCTAAAGATACAGCCACCGCCACAGCCACGGCCGGAGTCATAGAGACAGAGGCAGCTACAGCCATTGCTACAGCCGCAGCCACAGGCAGAGCTATAGCCAGAGCTATAGCCGGAGCTATAGCCGAAGCTACAACCACAGACACAGCAGCAGCTATAGCCATAGCTAAAGCTACAGCCACGGCTACAACCATTGCTACAACCACAGTTAAGGCCATAGCTACAGCTGCAGCCACAGATACATGCGGGGGGAGATACGTGCGGGGGGCTTACCCTTGCTATCATGCTGATCTGTGCCTCGGTCGGGGGAAAACATTTCCTGGAAGAGAGGGTGAGGGAGAGGGAGAGGGAGAGGGTGAGGGAGAGGGAGAGGGAGAGGGAGAGGGAGAGGGTGAGGGAGAGGGTGAGAGGGAGGGCGGCATCAACGGAGAGATGTCGGCAGGTCGGAGGGAGGGAGTGAGGGAAAGGGGAGGGGGGATGGAAGCAGACTGGCAGGCAGGCAGGCAGGGAGGGAGGCAGGCAGGCAGGCAGGCAGGCAGGCAGGCAGGCAGGCAGGCAGGCAGGCAGGCAGGCAGGCAGGCAGGCAGGCAGGCAGGCAGGCAGGCAGGCAGGCAGGCAGGCAGGCAGGCAGGCAGGCAGGCAGGCAGGCAGGCAGGCAGGCAGGTAGGCAGCCAGGGAGGCAGGGAAGCTCGTAGGAAAAGAAACGCAAGGGGGACAGGGGAATGAAAGAAGGGCTTCGATGGAGTGGAGTGGGCTCGTATTCACCTCACGGGCGAGTCTGCTGCTGTGGTGGGTGACCTGCCAGTCCTTGTGTGCATCTAGCAGCTTCCCATCCATTCCTGGTGCATGGCGCTGGTGCTTCCATGGTAGCTTGTTTAACTGCCTCCTCTCTTTTTCCTCTTCCTCCTCCTCATCCTCCTGCTGCTGCTGCTCCTCCTCCTCCTCTTCCTCCTCCTCCTCCTCCTGCTCCTGCTGCTGCTGCTGCTGCTGCTGCTGCTGCTGCTGCTGCTGCTGCTGCTGCTGCTGCTGCTGCTGCTGCTGCTGCTCTCTGTGCTGCTGCTGCTGCTGCTCCCTGTGCTGCTGCTGCTGCTCCCGGTGTTGCTGCCAGTGCCAAATAGATGGAATGCTCCGTGGATCGCTCGTGGCGCCTGCTGAGTCTGCATTCGCTCTGGCTGCTGATCCTAACCCTTCAAATCCCTTTGCGGGCTCTCTTTGATGCTCCGCGTGCTCTCCTTCCTGACTATCGTGGGCAGAGGCAAAGGCAAATGCTGGGTGCTGGAGGAAGAAGGAGAGGGCGTTGAGTGGCGGGAGAGGGGACGTGTTGCCACCGCTGCTTCTGTTGTGCAAGCTCATGCCGTTGGCCAAGTCTGGGCTGCTTGGGGTGCCATAATAGGGTTGTTGTGCGCGACCCGCTGCTGCAGGACCGTGAAAAAGAAAAGAAATGAAGGGGGACGGGGAATGAGAAACTAGGGGGGAGAGAGTGGAGGTAGCAGAGTGGAGTGGACGGAGAGGTGGACAGTGGGGTTGCGAGTAGCAATGCGGCAGTCAGGGAGCGGATCAGACACTTGATAAGAAAGCGGTGGGGCAGGGGTCAGGCGGGTGGAAGACAAAGAGGAAGAGGAAGAGGTATGGGGAATGAGGAATCGGAATGAGGAATAGGAAGGCATTGCAAGTTGCAAACAACCCAAGACAATCCAACAGGTGTGCAGCTTACATGGCAGGGAGGAAGGAGCATGCCCTCCTCCTCCTAGCTCGCTAGGATCACTGGCCTCTGCAGTGTGCCGTGGTGGTTGCATGGATGGTGCTTGACGCGCCTCGAAAAACGTTTCAGCGGAGTGTGGGTAAAGGCGCGAAGACGTGTGTTCTCTCGGGGTGGCTGCTTGGGGGGAGAGTGTCAGTGTCAAGCTGTTGTTGGTGCTGGGGGGGAAAGAGTGCTGCTGGAATGAAGGTGGGAAGGAGTGAGGAGGGGAGGGAAATGGAGGAGGAGGAGGAGGAGGAGGAGGAGGAGGAGGAGGAGGAGGAGGAGGAGGAGGAGGAGGAGGAGGAGGAGGAGGAGGAGGAGGTGGAGGAGGAGGAGGAGGAGGAGGAGGAGGAGGAGGAGGAGGAGGAGGAGGAGGAGGAGGAGGAGGAGGAGGAGGAGGAGGAGGAGGAGGAGGAGGAGGAGGAGGGCAGTGCAGGCTGGGAGATGTGCTGAGCAGAAAGGACGAGGATGAGGAGCAAGAAGATGGTGATGGTACTGTTGCTGCTGAAGCTTCTAGTGCCGTTGCAACCCCTGCTGCAGCTTCTGCCGGCGCTTCTGCTGCTGCTGCTGCTGATGCTGCTGCCGGCGCTTCGGCTGCTGCTGCAGCTGCCGGCGATTCTGCTGCTTCTGCTGCTGCTGCTGCTGCTGCTGCTGCTGCTGCCGCTGCTGCTGGCGATTCTGCTGCTGCTGGCGTTGTTGCATATGATGATGGCAAGAACGACGACAAGGAAGGCAGGCGATTCTGCATGGAGGAAGAGGATGAGAAGCACCGGACATGGAAATCCGGGCCAGCCCACATGTCCGAAAGCCGAGGCCGTTTCCGAGAAGGGAAATGTAAGGCATCTGCAGCAGAGGACTGGGAAAATCTGGGCGGTTGGAAAGATGCGATTGTGCACGAGGCATGTGTCTCAGGATCGGGCTTGAGAGAGTAAGGGCCGAGCGGGGGAGCATCTGAAGGCGTGGAGGACCCTTGAGCTGTTGTGTTGGTGTTAGTGGTGGTGGTGGTGTTGGTGTTGGTGTTGGTGTTGGCGTTGGAGTAAGTGTTAGCGTTGGTGTTAGTGTTGGTGTGACAGTTGGAACTAACCCTAATAAGAGCATCTGATGAATCTGTGGCTGTGGCTCTGTTGAATGGCACTCCAGGACGCTGAAACGCAGTAGCAGCAACAGCAGCAGCAGTATCATCCGGGGCAGGGGCAGCAACTGTTGCTGAAAATGCAGCAGAACCAAGAGCAGGATCAGTAGTAGGAAGGGGGTCATCTAGTACGGGCTGGGATTCCACAGGGATCCCAAACCCAAAAAGCCTAAGTGAGCTGCTGAGAACCGTGGCTGTTCCGCCTGATGCTGACAACAACGCAGGCACAGCGGCAGATGGATCAGCAGCAGCGGCGGCAATAGCAGCAGCGGCAGCGGCAGCGGCAGCGGCAGCGGAGGCAGCTTCATCAGCATCACGACAAGGCCATTGGCAATCTTCCATTTCGAGGCAAGGGAAGAGCCAGAAGCAAGCGGCACCCGTGCATGTGCATGAAAGGCATGCAACTGGGAGGATTGTAGCAGGGGCTCACGAGCTGTGTTATAATCGCGAAAGCTGAGGAGCACACACGGGACCCCCAGCAGCAACAGCGGAGGCGGCAGCAGTAGAAAGAAGCAGGAAGGCCCTACGCTCAGTTAGTGAAGCCCTTCGATGTGCCAAGAGCAGCATCCATCCATCACAAATATGTGACACCTCATTTCATCACACCAGCTTTGGCTTTGGCGACAGCCTGCCAGCGTGCAAAGCAATTGACCAAGTGTGGTAGCAGCAGCAGTGGTCACTAAGGTTAGTGGTTTCAAGTGGGGGAGGATGAGAAGAATTGCAAAAAGAGAGAGGAAAGACGGCGGGTTGGAAAGCTAGAGTATGAGGGAAGGAGTTACGGAGATAAGGGGAGAGTCTCCTCGGAGGCCTACAAGATCCACCTTTTGTGAAAAACTTCAACTTTTGTGGCGCCTCAAAACTCCTTGCGGAATCTACAACTTGAAGTTCCGCCAGTGAAAACCTTCTGCTTCAGGGATTCAATCCGGCGCTCCAATAATTTGATTGCACTGCATCATCGATCCGGTTCTGGGGGGAGGTTGGGAAGTGACAGGGGGAGGAGGGGAAACGAAGAAAATGGGGAGAGAGAGAGAGAGAGAGAGAGAGAGAGAGAGAGAGAGAGAGAGAGAGAGAGAGAGAGAGAGAGAGAGAGAGAGAGGGGGGGGGGGGGGGGGAGTGAGAGGGTAAATGAGAGGGGAGAGGGAGAAAGAGGGGGAGGCATGAAGGAAGTGTGCCAAAAATAAGTAAGGGAAGACGGCCCTTTGTATAGACAGCGCGGAGGCGTAAGAAGAGTGTGAGAATGGATTGGACGCGTTAAAACCGCTCCCAGCCAATAGCTGGGTTTCGACTCAAACGGTGGCTCCCGTTATGGGTGTGATGGGGTTCCGGTCCCTGGTAACACAGCATCCCGTTTGGACAAGCAACTCAGGTGATCCACAGCCTTCAGCCTTTCCTGTCCTCTTTTTATCCTTCCTTTGATGCATAAGAATGACGCTGGAAGGTTGATCCGAATCGACCTTCAAGCTAGCCTTGTTCTCTAATCATGGTGGCCCAAGTTTTTTTATTTCTATTTTTTCTAGAGCCCGAACTCGGTGCTAGGTATTCCTTACGCATAAGCAAAAATTCCGCAGCAAGCTTCCGGATCTTTTTCTTTGGTTTTGGATTTTTTTTTTTTTTTTATCTTTGTAGGAAAAAGTTATTGCGCTGGCAGTACCTGAAGTGATTAGGGTTACGGCGACCCTTAGACGGCACTTGATAACGAACGTGTCGCAAAAATCTCAGAGGCAAACTGAGTTGTTAAACGACCAGATTCTAAAATAACTGCTCCAGGAAAGGTGGCGTCACTGCTACTGGGATCTTGACTGCTGCAGCGGCACCCTCAGCGTTCTAGAACCGTGCCCCCTCCTTCGTTACTAGCTCGTGTTGTGAGACTGTCCGCAGAAAGTACTACTTATCGTATCAGCCTTTCGGGAGACTTGGCGGCCGTGAGAATAACACATGGCACACAGATTTACCAACAGCTGGAAGGGCGGATTAAACGTGTGCTGTGCAACCAAGGACACAACAGCACCTCAAAAGTTCACAACAGCCTAGAACACCGTCTGGTCATCATTTCAAGTTCCTCTAATCCAACCCCTGACTCCTCGGGCACAATGAGTCAACTGAAGTGATGAGGGGGTTTGCTCTTTTCAAATGAAATACCTCGGCATGAGTGTAGCCCTTTCTAGTTTGGCCCGAGCCAAGCGTACCTCGCGTTGTGACCACACGATCTCCTCTCTCCCCCATCCTACTGTGCGATGGTGCAAGCTCCCGTCACACAACACGTTATGCTGTGTGGTTTGGGAAGCCAAGTGAGGGAAGGCTGGTGGTGACCAGCTCATTCCGTCTCCGCGGAAAACTTGCTAGGGCAGGATAGTTTGAGCACCTGCCCGCAGGATGGTAATGTGTCCTTTTCGAATGACCTGATTCTTGTGAAGCCTTCATGGTGAGTGCAAAATGCGAATTCTTGATACACGAAAATTGTAATAATATATCTAATTGTGCACGATGTGTTCCTCATTAGTATATCAATAGTGTATTATTACTGCAGTGCCAACATTTTCTTCTTCGAATGCATTCTTGGATTGTCTGGTAACAGATGTCGGAAGTTGCATCAGCAGCCAAAAACTTCCAAGCAGTGATCTTGGATTTGGGCAACCTGCTTGAGTACACTACCCCTTTCGTACGGCCTGACACTCAGCCCAATCAGTATGAAATTTACACACGTTGAATGTTGGTACAATCGGTGCTCATTTCAAGAACACCAGGTAGGCGGTCGGCATATGCGTGAAACGAGTTTGAAACATTTCGACACATTCGCCCTTGTCGCCACGGGCAAAAATGTGACTAATATGAAATTGCAACGTGAATCGATTTGAGGACTTTAATTTCGTAACCAGGTTAACTTCTCTGATGACGGGCAACCGTTGTTTTTTATGAACTGTAGATGTTTTTCTTCCTCAGCTTGGTGACTGTACCCTGAAATCGGCACAATGGGCAATTTAGTCACTCACAGGCAAAACGTTCGCGAGTGACTAAATTTCTAATTGTGAGAGCAAATGTTTTGTGATAGGCTGAGCATCGACTGTACGCGTGGTGCCAGAACAAGGGTGATTTGCTTTTGTACAGAATGGCGTCGAAACGGAGGATACTGTTCGACAAAGTCTAGCTTAGGACGGGGCCTAAGTATTTTGTTCCAGGTTCGTTTGACGTTGTTAAATTCGGTTCATTACGTTTGTGCACGGCGATCAGTTTTCACCGCTCTATACCATTGTGCACCAAGGTGAACCTTACGAGGTCATAAATCGTGACAGCAAACATAACCCCCTCAAATACCATGGGTCGAAGTCGAAGAGTCCAGGGGGTCGGGCTTTGACTGGTTTTAGGAGTTCCGTTCTCTCATAAGAACTAGAAAACTATTGAGATCACACTCCCTATGCCTTGAAGATCACGAAGGCTTCGCAATGTAACGAACGCTGCGAAATCGACCCCCAGAGGGTGTTTCTCAAATAGGTGAAACTAGGAAGTTTCAGTACCAAACTTCTTGACATTATGGATGAGTGGCCGATCAGCACCCTAAAAACTCGGGCGGATGCAAGACCAGCCAAGTGTGTGCAAGTTCTTGGAACAAGCTGTCCGTGTCACCTGGTGGCCCCACGCCGTTGTACTGCACACATTCAGGGCTTCTTGACAGGTCGGTTTGTCTTACGCTTTCAACTTGTTAGGAAATCCAAAATCACCGGTCTTGAGAAAACAGTTACAGCTGCTAGACGTTGAATGTTGTCGCCAAGATTCGGCACAGTTCGCAACCAATGGAAGCTTGTGCCAACACCTTGTTGACGAGCACCAGTCACCACAAACCCTGAACTTCAGCTTGTCGCCAAGAGGTTTGTTCAGCTTTCATTTCGCACTTCTGGTTCGGCTTTATGAGTGCAGCACGCCTTGGCACGCAGCAGTGCACCAAGTTTGGAAGCTTCCACTTACATTGTAGAGAATGGCCCTGTTTGACAGGCAACACCGACGGCCGCGGAATCCTCGCAGCTCTTTCGTTTTCACATTTTTTTCCCACGGTCAGCCCGTAAAATGGGCGAATGGGGCTTTCACCCCCGCTAACCTGTTGGCAGAGTGTTAGCCTGTCGAACGCACCCGATAATTGACCCCTTCGCCTTCTTAGAAAGAACCGCGAGCTTTCTCGCACGGACAAAGGTCTAGCCCTCGCCTAGCCTAACCCTCGCCCCCCAAAAGTGGGGTTTGCCAAAGGGCTCGCCAAGTGTTTGCAGTGGGGGGAACACCCACTCCATGGACCCTAAAATAGGTCTTTGTGAACCAGTTTGGTTGGAAAAATTCTTCCATTTGAAAACCTAATCGAGGCTTGGTCTCGCTACCCCTCAACCGAACCCGGCGTTATTACCCAGACCCCTTTGGAGAGCTGTCCAAACTTTTGTACTGTGCCCGCCTAAAGGCAGGTGAAGGGGGCGAGCAGCTTCGCCTTGTCGGCCCCGCTCCTTTCGACCCCTAGGCGATGTTCGGCTGCCACAGGAGATCAACCGAGGGATAGGGGGAGGCATCAAATTCTCAGCTAGTGTTTCTAGTTCGGGATGGTCAACTCGGAGTCAACCAGCGTTGACTCCAAGTCTGGGGTCTAGGCGCAAGCGGAACCTTTGGGGGAAAAGGCGCAGATGAGCGATTCGGGAATTGGGGGCCCACGAAACTGCAGCCGCACGAAACGAAACTCCACGAGTTGAACAGTTTTCCTTCACCCTGCCGCATATTAATGTTGCGATTTGTTTGGATAACTGACATTCCAAAAACCTCTACACCGTAAATTAAATTGAAGGGTGTAATTGACAATTGGACCTTAGGTAT